CCCCCTCCCAGTAATGAAAGGCCTCCCATCCCTCTTCCCTTCCTTCTCCCAAGTGCTAAGTGCCCTCAGTAGTGCCCTTTATAGGAGCCAGACGTAAAGCACTATAATATTAAAAAAAAAAAATCTATATCCGTACTAATTTATTTTTCTACCACTAGAGTTCGTTGTTTCTTTTTACTTTACATCCTTCAGAGGTCAGAGGACTCGTAACGCTTCGACTGCTCCGAGGTGGACAAATGATAGATGTACCTATTTTTCGCGTAAGACGACTATTCGGTTATCCATTGTACGATGAGAGTTTGTGTGATCCCAGATGAACCAAAAAATGTATCAAAACAAACCATCATATTTTTAAAAGCACAACATTAAAAGGTGAAAAAGTAATGAAATCAAAAACTGTAATGGATGAATCTAAAAAACCAGATGAGTAAAAAACAATGACCGTCTTTCCAATCACTGTCTCTTAGCTCCAATCATCAATGAACTGAGAACAATTGCTAGTACAAATTGTGGAAAAAATTTCGAAAGAAAAGTCCAAGTAATAAACAAGCTTTGTAACTACTGGAACGACAATATCGAAGTAGATATAGCTCCCATAACAAATTATATCAATGGAACTGTTAAAGAAATTGAAAAAAGCATTTAAAATTTGGATATAAGTAAAGAAAGGGAATTAAAAAATGTTAAAATTCCATAAAGAAATAAAGTTATAAAAAGGTCATCAGAATTTTTAAAGACTACACCTACAAGTAAAAAAAAGGAAGTAAAGTTTAATCTTTCATAAATAGTTTTCAAACAGGAGTGANGTCAATGAACTGACAACAGTTGCTAGTACAAATTGTGGAAAAAATTTTGAAGAAAAGTCCAAGTAATAAACAAGCTGTGCAACTACTGGAAAGACAATATCGAAGTAGATATAGTTGAAATTGAAAAAAGCATTCTAAATTTGGATATAAGTAAAGAAAGGGAATTAAAAAATGTTAAAATTCCATAAAGAAATAAAGTTATAAAAAGGTCATCAGAATTTTTAAAGACTACACCTACAAGTAAAAAAAAGGAAGTAAAGTTTAATCTTTCATAAATAGTTTTCAAACAGGAGTGATAAAAACATTAAACTTTTTAAAAGTGTTAATAGCTTTTATATCATGTTTTGAATGCATTATATATAAATTTGAAAATAAACACCAACTCACTACACTTGTGATGGCTTTATATTGCCTTCCTCCTATGAGTCATTTATTAACTTAATTGTGTGTTCACTAGCTAGGTATTTCACAATACTGTCGCATAATATTGATTATGTTAATAGGATTATTATTTTTATGTATCTTTGTGAGCTATTGCTTATGTGCCTTTACTGCTATTCATTATGAAATAGTAAAGTCCAAGTAACCTTTTTATCTCTAATGTCGGTTTATATAACTCGTGTGAGTACATGTGTTTAATACATTATAACTAGCAAAAAATATATATTTTGAGTCACAAACCTGTTTGCCTTAATGCCAGGAATGCTTGCTCATCTCAAATTTGAGGCTTGTATATAATCCAATTGAATGGCATTGATGAAAGTAGCTAAGTCATTCAGCACTAGCTACTTAGTTCTTTTATTGATAAAGAACAAATTATTTATCCAATGCATTTAGTTGTTTATGTAATTGGAGTACATTAGTGTACATATTGGAAATGGTTGACGTAAAGTCAATCCACTTGTAGATGTATCCTTAATTCGAATGATGTCAATAAAATCTAAAATGATAAAAAAGAAACCACTAAGTAATCGCCCTAAAAAAATTGAAGATGTTATAACCCAATCAAATAATAAATCCAACTTATCTGAACTAAGTATATCAGTCCTCATCCACATTTAATTGGAAAGATCACAATATTGTTTCAAAAGAAATTTTATTAGCCAATTAATTATGCTGGATGCGGTTATTAGATTCGCGAGCTTTAAAATTAATATGACAATTTCTAGACCAAAAAATGTATTTACGATCTTACACAAGTGTACGTACATAAATTTATAACATCAAGTAACGAGCGACATGACAATATAAGTAGCAGACGACGCATAGGGTACATATATTCATTCTTTCTCTTACTTTACCCATACTGTGCCCATACGTACATACGTTTACGCATGTAGTACATACAGGCCAATATGTGTGTTTTATTATTTGTTGCTATCATGCTATAAGTTTTTTTATCGTCATTACGCACAATTTTTAAGTACCAGTTCCCATTTTTCAGCACAGTACCTATACACGGATTAAAACCCGTATGCCGTGCACATTATGTACTGTACACGGTTTACAGTGAAAACAGTGTACTGTGCACGGTACTGGCAGTAATTGCACATAACGATATTAACATATCCGTGTACGGTACATGAATACACGGTGCACGGTGCATGGTACTGCGCCCACCCAAAGTACCAGGAGTATAATTAACACCGTGTACCGTGCACGGTGTACTGTCCACGGCGCACAGTATCGGGCCCCCAGTCGGTGCCAATTAAAAACCTAAGAAAATCAATCTCTCGAAATTGTCTGGCAAATACGAAAAAATTATTACTTGGGACCACGTACTATGATTCAACAGTAATAAAATTTCTCCAAATAACAATAAAACAATTTATGATGAAGAGTACCAATGGCTTCCATGGTGCTACGATTTAAGTATTGATTCTTACGACCACCCGTGCAATAAATACGAAAAAAAATCTTTAAAAATTTTTACTAGTGTGTTTTCTCGAAATGTTTAGTTTAAAAATCGGAAATTTTAATGTTATAATTTGATAGTTCCATAAAGAGGATATTTGTTAGGTACATTAGTATTGAGATTGTAGCACCACAAACATGATAGAAACTAGTGTCTATAATTGTAAACATACTTAAGAATTACGGTAATCTTGAATTGTCTCAAGGACACCGGAGTGGACGCGAAAGTATACGCTAAAGTGTTGAGAAAGCTGGACGTCAGAAACAATTTTTTTATCTTATTTACCGTACGCCCCGACTGGAGCCGTGATTCTTGCAGAATTTTATGGTAACCCGCTGCAGCTGACCTATGTAGCGACCAATGCCGTTACAAATATTAGCCCGGACAAAACCAGACTTCATACCCAGCTGACTATAAGACATTTTTGGGCACTTGAACTGACCTTTTAATGTTATGCTAGCTAATCTTTGTATTGAGCTGGTCTGCTAATGTTTGATCATAGAGATATCTCTATGTGTTTGACCAAACAGTAGGCAACGATGTTTAGGCCATATACATAAAAGAAACATAGACTGCTCGTTTGTAGGTACGGCATCTAAAGCACGAGTAGAAAGAGACACAGCACCAAGAGTGAAAATCTGTCTCTCTTGCACATTGCCAACGGTAGGGGTAAGTAAACTAAGTACGTTATATACGATAGACCGGGCCAGTGCTCCCAAAAGTGGCATCCAAACTAGCACGAAATTCAAATTGTCTATAAAGAGCAAAACGCAAAAACCCACATAAAACAACAGAATTTCTAAAATGATAAATAAATAAACCCCAAGCTATTAAATCCAATAACCCAATGCTGTTTAACCCAGCAACCCGGAACGCCTACTGGCCACTTTAAAATATAATGCCTTAAATAATACAACAAAAGCACCAACCACCACACAACCCGGGGCGCTTACTGGCCGCTTTGTTTATTAATAAAAAAATAAAATAAAATACCACAAGCGCCAATAACCACACAACCCGGGGCGCTTACTGGCCACTTTAATTATTTATAGTAAATAGAATAATCCAAGCGCCCCAGAACGTGTGAGGATTTATGCTTGCGTTATTATTTCATTAATCATAAATAATCAAGGCGACCAGTAAGCGCCCCGGGTTGTGTGGGGATAGGTGCTTGCGTTATTATTCACAGGAGAAATAAGTCTTCCCCTACACTCCTGCTGTAGCTCTGCTCTGATTGGCTTCGGAACTTTTCCAACGGAAAGAGCCGTCACATAGCCATATAAGAAAAATAGACTACTCGTTCTTATGAACGGCGCTGAAGCACAAGTAGAAGACAGAACATCGAACGTGAGTATCTCTCTCTCTCTTTCTCTCTCTCGCACACTCCCACATTTGGCAATGTGAGGGAGAGACAGATATCCACGTTCGATGTTATGTCTCCGTCTACTTGTGCTTCAGCGCCGTACATAAGAGCGAGCAATCTATTTTTATTATATGTCTATGCGTAGACTGTTCACTAACAATTGCATGATTAACCAGGCTTGTATTGATCAAAGTGACTGATGTTCCTTTACGGAATGTGTAGGCTGAGTGCCTTAGTTGCGTAGACTGTTGTCTACTAACAACTTCGTAATTGGCCCTGATGGGCTTGAAATGAAGTAAGGGAGTGTTGTCCTTTCACCAGTTATTTCTAATTACAAAGAAAATGTATTAGCTTGATGCATAATCGAATATTGAACAAGTGTATTAGTTCATGCCAGGATAAATTATCTCGTGTTTAAAAAGAAAGTCAACGGTGGTGATTGCACGACAACGCATGCCAATGCACGCGCACTTGTTTTAACAAAAGTGTTCGTTGAATTGTTTGTGCTTCTGCGTTCGGTAAACAAGAAGGACTCGTGTGTTCTAATCTACAGTTCTATATGACGCCGTTGCAGCACACACCACGTTGACGAATAAAACGTTTTTCGATGAATCTGATTAAATTAAATCTAACGTTATTGCACGATTCAATTTCCAATCGCGGACCGTAGAGCACATTGCACTATAGTCAATTGCTGCGCAAAATTAACATTATTCATACGTTTACAACCGCAAACGGCTCTCGCACTTGAAATGAAGTTTTAACGCACCAATGATAATAGCTTTAGTTTCGCACGATTTACTTATGAAATGCGTCTTGATCAAGAACTTCAAAGAGACACCGAAATTCTTGTAATTGCATACAATGAATGTTCTTCAAACTTACTGAATCGAGTGTAACACGCGACGCACTAATACTTGAACAGAAACATGTAATGCTCACAAATCAGTACTTACAATAAAATTAACGCACAAATCCGAAGATAAGCTGGTGAATTCCAGTATACAGTTGAACAGAAATGTACACGGCACACTAAACAAATGAAAATCAACAAGGATCAGATTGGCATACTCGCTCACTTCTTTTGCGTGTTAGCTGGTCGCGGCGTCGCGCTCGCTTGCCAGAATAAATCAAAAACGTGGCGTCCCTACAGCTCTATTCTCTCTTTCTGTATACCCTACCCATACGTGATAGCACCTGCACCGACTTCCCGATCGGAAATATCCCGAGTAGAAATTGAAAGTGGGCGAAAACTGGGCCCAAGCGTATATATATTTATACATATGGGTCTGCGCGCGCGCATATCATACTATATTTATATACTTATATATAGTCGTCTCTGTATTATACTGATCTGCAGACATTAGTGGGCGAAAGTCATGCCAAGTAAGGCCAAGCTGCGCCTTATTACGAGCCCATCCTGTGGCCAGGCTTGGTTTCTTGATTTCGACCATGCGTTTAACCAGATCGGTAAGCTTAGCGGGGGCATAGCTTGTGCCTACCTAGGCAGCCTAGCTTGCCTCGCTAGGTCCTAGCGAGGCAAAAGTATAGAGGCAGATGGCGTGATGTAACGCGGCTTAGCTTGGCCCTATCTACACTGAAAAAAAAGAACTGCTAGTGCTAGTACGACCGCGAACAAATGCTAAAACAGCAGTGGCGCCACATGCAGGTAGGTGCACAGCTATTATCACTGTAGTCCACAGCTAGGCAGCTAGCATAACTGCAGACGACCCATGCTGTTTCTGCATTGCTCGCCAACAGTCATTTGTACTGTTGTGCCCAGTAGAGCTAGTATATTAATTGTGTAACAATGACTAGTCTAAAATAAACGAAGCAAAATCATTGAAATTTTTATTTTTATAATTTCTATTATATATCCCAAAAGAGTGTAAAAGTGGAGAGACGATACATTAAAATAGACGTAATAGTACCTTCAAAATAGCCCTTCGCCGCTTGATTTTGGGTTCTCAGGCGGAAAAATAGTATACGAAACTCGTTCGAAAAGGCTTCTTTACGAACCTCGTTACGGCCCTCACTTTCGGCTCGTGCCGTAAACCTCTCACTTCGTAAGCTTTTGCAAACTCGTACGTAATATACTATTTTGTCTTGTATGTTAGAAAACAATTTTTTTGTTTCATAAATGTCGATTTCCACTGCTTTCTCGAAAAATAGACCATCAGGAGAAATGGTTTTTATTCCGTCCAGAGACGGAATCAGAGCGGAACTTTATCTTAACTTCTAAAACGAACACACTTCTTTTTCCCAGGAGCCTTGCGCGCGCTCGCACCCGCCGCTGATTGGCTCTCAGCTTGTCAGCGCGGCAGCGGGAGGGGTGGGGCTTAAGGACTCGATTTTTTTCCTTGCACGCTCTCTCTCTCTCTTGCCTGATACGCCGAATTGGAAGCATCGTAATTACCTCTCGCGTAGTGCTTGCAGTTTTGTCGCTTACAGGTTGTGTCATCTGCAGGAGATCTTCGCCGCCGTCTTCGAGCCCCAGGACTCAGGATATCGTCGTCGAGACGCTAAGTCTTTTATATTTAATCGTATCTCACCTTCATACGTATTCATATTTCGTCAATCTTCATCATCGTAGCTCTATTTAATCATTTTACTAATTAATCTTTACATTCCCACATCTCTCATTAATTGCATCTCGCATTCGTGTTGGGTTCCTGCATCTCTAATTCTCATTCTTTAATTCATCACTCATCCAGCAATCTCTTGCTCGTCCTCACAGTCATCCCAACCCTTTCACCTCTCGTTCGTGCTACTCTTCCTTACTCTACCCAACCCTTCTCTACTCGAAATCACCTTCACAATCGCTCTCGGCTTATCTTTTTCACCTTCTGCACGTCAACGCTTATCACATCTGCATCATCTGCGCCCTACTCAATACACGTCTCGCTAATTTTTTCACCTCACGTCAACGAACAGCTTATCATCCATACGTCACTCATCCTACAACCTCTATCATCATCCGCCCAGTATCTCTGTCTATATACATCCACTATCATTTTAGGTTAAATTTTATCCACGCATCCGCATTCAACCACGTCACTACATATCATACACATCATACGTCTATTGCACCTACTTGGTGCATCTCGTCATCCCGTCATCTTCAATACAGTTCGCCCGCTCCATTTCATCTCTCATTCCGGAATCAGAGTCCTCACCCGAATACGCCACTCACAACAACTATCATTACTGAGCTGCCGCAGGTAGTAGCTAATTTCGACTTTCGGGCGTCGGCCCGCTTTCACCAGCCTTGCGCTGACTCGTGCGAGCGTGCACGGCTGAGGGACTCATTGTCGTAGTTCCGTCTCTCTCTCTGTGTCACCTCTGCGTTGTCTACCTGCGAACATTCTAGAAAGTTTTAGTATTAAGGGGCCCCCCAATTTAAGAACCCGAACGACCCTGTCGCCATGCCCAGCGTTATCTCGGCTGCTACCCATGCATATTCTTTTCAATCGGACAATTCCCCTTGTGTTTGCAAGAGTTCGCGCACGCGTTGGACTATATCCATTAGCTTTGTGCCTGTCTCTGAGTTTCCTTCAGTCCCGTGCTCATCATTGCCGAGTTCCTGTAATCCGTCTCTTTTTATTATTATACTCGTAAGCTACCGTAACTTGTCCCCTTTTATTCCTTTTATGCTCTGTATTATCTTTCCTAAATTCAAGTTGGAGTCCTTAAGTTTGACTATTTTGCTCATGCCCTCCTCTGATCCCGGACTCAATCTGGTCTCTGCGGCTTGAGCCGTGCAATCCTCTGACAAATTTATTACTCCTAGGTCTGCCACTTTAAATGTTTTATGCTGTGTGTGCCCACACTGCACGTATATTTTCTCCTCCCCCGTAGTGCTGAAAGCATGCTGGTTTCTTGCATGTAGGCGCGTCCAGTAAGTGCCTTTTAGTTTGGCTAGTATTATCGGGCATTCCTCTGGATTTTTTATTGTGTAGCCTAGGATTAATTTTATTTCACAAGGATGGTCTTCCTCTACTTCCTGTGCTGATTCCATCTGTGTGCAAATGCGCTTTCGTCCCATTCTTTTGCATCCTTTAACCGTTTCCTGCGATATTGGTGCAAAACTCTTCGCACTAGTGCT